TGCCCAGGTGGGTCTCGAACCCGCGGGCTCAGGCCATCCACTCACCTCAGCCTCCCAAAGCGCGGGATGACAGGCTGAGCCACCGAGCCCGGCTGCCAGTTAGTTCTAGAGCCCAACCTCCACAGACCTCCCTCATCCCATCAAGTTTCCCCTGGGTCCTTCTCAGAAGAAAACAGATCCCTAGACGCTGGGCCACGGGTGGGAGGGTGTCCCTGACAAGGCCACATTTGATCAGAAACCCAAGGCAGGAGGTGACAATGGCAGCTGTATGAAGACCGGAGGGAAGAGCCAGGCAGAGAGAACAGCCAGTGCAAAGGCCCTGGGGCAGGCATGGGTGTGTGGGAGGTTCCTTTGCCACCTCACCTCCGCCTCTGTCTCCCAGGATTACAAGAGGTTCTGGGCAGGCCTCCAGGGTCTCACCATCTACTTCTACAACGGCAGTCGGGACTTCCAGGTGAGGCTGGGGTTGGAGGCTCAGGGGCTGGCCCTCCCTTGACACCGAGAACCAAGCAGAGCATATGGATGGTGTGGCCATGGCAGCGGCGACATCATCCTGGGAGCTCAAGGGGCTGCAACCCTGGTCCTCAGACCTTTCCCCCACCCCCGCTTCTGTGCCCGCAGCACGTGGAGAAGTTAAACCTGGGAGCATTTGAGAGGTTCACAGACGAGGCTCCCCGGGGAGGCTCCCGAGACCCTGGCACCCACTTCAGCCTGATTCTCTGGGACCAGGAGGTCAAGTTCAAGGTAGGTTCCTTGGGTCCCGTTGAGCTCAATATTAACGCACACGAGCGTGGCGTCTCACAGACTCTGCCACTGGGTTGAGGGCACGGGACAAGTGAGTCAACCTCTCTCGGCCTCAGATATCTGTGCAAGCGCTCAGAGCTGAAGGAACAGCCCGTGCAAAGGCCCTGAGGCAGGATTGTGGCTGGCGTGTTGGAGGAACAAGGAGGAGGCCTGTGGGGCTGGAGCAGAGGGAGGAGGGGAGGATTTGGAGGATTTGGAGGGAGGATTTGGAGGATTTGGAGGGCAGGTTAGGCTGGGCTTGTGGACCTTGGGGAGGCCTTGGGCCTTCACTCCAAAGGAGGGAGGGTTTAGAGCATCCGAGGTATGTGATCTGATTTCTATTTTCCAAAGGTTGATATTATCACATTAAGAATAATAATATTGGCCGGGCTCAGTGGCTCAGCCTGTAATCCCGCAGCTTGAGAGGCTGAGGTGAGTGGATTGCCTGAGCCGGCGGGTTCGAGACCCACCTGGGCACCTTGGCAAGACCTCATCTCTACAATAAATCAAAAATTAGCCAGGCGTGGTAGCGTGCGCCTGTAGTTCCAGCTACTTGGAAGGCTGAAGCAAGTCGAGGCTGCAGTGGCTGGAAGCGGCCACTGCACTCCAGTCTGGGTGACAGAGTGAGACTCCAACTCAAAAAATAATAATAATAATAATAATAATAATATTGGTCAGGTGCATTGGCTCACACCTATAATCCCAGCACTTTGGGAGGCTGAGGCAAGAGGATCCCCTGAGTCCAGAGTTTGAGAACATCCTAGGCAACATAGCAAGACCTTGTCTCTACAACACAAAATTCAAAAAATTAGCCAGGTGTGATGGCACCTGTAGTCCCAGCTACTTGGGAGACTGAGACAGGAGGATCGCCTGAGCCCAGCAGGCCGAGGCTGCAATGAGCTATGATGGTGCCACCGCACTCCAGGATAGGTGACAGAGGGAGACCCTGTCTCTAAAAATAAATAGAGGCTGGGCGTGGTGGCTCACGCCTGTGATCCCAGCCCTTTGGGAGGCCGAGGTGAGTTATGATTGCCTGAGCCCACGGGTTCGAGCCCACGGGCAACTTGGCAAGAACTCGTCTCTACGATAAATAAAAAAAAACTAGCCGGGCGTGGTGTGCGTGCCTATAGTTCCAGCTACTTGGAAGGCCGAGGGGGAAGGATCACCGGAGCCCAGCGGGTCGAGGCTGTGGTGGCCGTGAGCGTGCCCCTGCCCTCCAGCCTGGGTGACAGAGCGAGACTCCAACTCAAAAAGTAGAAATAAACAAATAAATAAAATAATAATATCCCATATTAGTGAAGACTTATATGCGGACACCATTCCGCATTACCCGTGCCAACGCATTCAACCTTCCAAACAGCCCTTGGAAACAGAGACTGTCCCCCCCAGCCCCATTTCACAGGTGAGTAGACTGAGCCTCGGTGACCCGGGCTCCTTTCTGGCCCTCGGCAGGTGGAGAGCCTGGAGTGTCGGGAGATGTGGAAGGGCTGCATCTTGACGGTGGTGGAGGTACCTCCTCGGAAATCCTTCTTTTTCCTCCTGTCCATTCCCCAGAGGAGCCTCCAGGGTACAGCACCCCGGCCTCCAGCCGGTGGCCCGCGGGCCGAGTGCACTCCCCAAACGTCTTTTCCCTTTCGAGTCGGAGTCATTTCTCTCTGCTCATTTGTGCGCTTGAGACCCGCCTGGCCCTGTGGACCGTAGGCTTGAGCCCCTGATTCTAGCATCGTCCGGCCCCCCATCACCAAGCCGCTCTTGGTCCAGCCTCTCTGCATCCCCCCCAGCCCTCCTGGCGGGTCGGGCGACTCTGGCGCCCTCGGTCCGAGAGTCCCGTGGTGGCTCCACGCTCCGGCCTCAGTCTGCCACCCGGCGACGTGGGCACAGCTGCCCATTCGCGGACCCTCGCTCGTTCCTCAGCTCCGTGTCCCGTCCCACCTGATCCTGCTGCCCGGGCACCTGCACAAGATGGCTGAGCTCCTGAGCCAAGAGGAGGCGCGCCGCGCGGTCGAGACGCCCCCGTGAGTGCCCG